AATTTCGTATAATTAAAAGTTAGCATTGAAAAGTAAGAGGTTTCCATCAAACGAAAGCAATTACTTATAAATATGTAGATGGTAAAATTTCACCTCTCACTTCATGGTCTCAAGAGTATTTCTGTAGTAATAGAATTTTTATTAAAAAAAGTTGTTGCTCCTCAAGGTACATTTGATCATATTAAAGAATATAAAAATATACCGTGTCGTCGTACAAGATTTTCCTAGAGAGAGAAGATCGTGTTGAAACGCGTTATGTAGAATGTAATTGTCAAATTATTGTCCCTTTTGGGACACCCTGTGGAACACGGACGATGAATCAGAATGTTTGGAGCAAAAGGAAGAAGGATGTATCGTCGTTTTCACCGACCTGCCCGTTAAGTCGTTTCCGCTCGTCGGTAAACACACGCGGGAATAGTAATTCGAGACAGGGGCTCTGCGCTGTGTCCTTTCACCTCCCGTCAACCCTCCGTCTGCCTTTCCTCCCACAACTAGTGAAGTTGTCTCGAGTCGTGTATGATTGTCTTGTCTGCTTGTCGCTGTCGATCCACAATCGCGTCGAATTCGGGAAGGGAATGCTCTTTCAAGATGAGCTTGTTTTCTCGGATGTCAGCCGCAAATCGGAGCTTGCTCTTTCACCTTGCATCTCATGCATTGTGGTAGCTACTGTCAGACCTCATCTTGCTCTTGAAAAGAGTAACTATACATCGCAGGAAAGTCTCCGGAACCAATCAAATATGTCTAGGAAAATTTTTGTATTCTTCAATTTTAATAATTTCAATTTCAACGTTTACTAGAAACATGATAATTTTGATAATTTTCTTGAACGACATATGTTTTTAAAATTTTTTTACTATAATGGAAATCATTTTCCTAAAGATAATTTCGCGATTTCTATTCTTAACTCTTTGCATAAAAATATATTATTACTACTTGAAAAAAAGATTAATTGAAAAATTAAATAGTTTCTATAGATACGTCTGTGTCTTATGATATATTTTACTTACATTTTAGTAACACGGGATTCAATTAGAGTATATTTTTAAAAGTTAGAATAAATAATATATTATAGAATCTGAAAGAAACGGTACTTTCGTCTAGGAAAATTATATATATTCTTAAACTTTAATAATTTCAACGTCTACTGGAAGCATGTTATTCATTGATCACTTTCTTAAGCGCTACATGTTTCTAAACTTTTTTATTATTATGGAAAGTTATCCGATATACGATAAAGTATACTTGAACGTTCGCGTTACTTACGTCCAACGACCGCAGAACATTCTGCAAAATAACGGTTACATCGCGCTGGCATTGCCCGCGAGATGATCGGCGTCGCGACATCGTATTTTCTTCCTGTTCGTTTGCCCGCAAGCTTTTACCGAACGTACGTAATCGCATTTTCCTCGGTTATGATCCAAGTCACGAGAGAGAAAGAGGGAGCACATCCATAATTTTTTTTTGTTCTCCTCTCTTATTCCCGCCGCTCCTCTTCTCGACATTCCACGACGACACACGCCGCGAGTGGCTCGCGTCATGTGACACGTGTCCAACAGGCGAAGGCGCATAATGCACGTGTCGCACGCACGATACGTAACGGCTGCAGTGCTGCACTGGCATGTGACGATCGCCGCCGCCGCCGCCGCCGCCGCGTCATCTCGTATATCGGCGGGCAGTACTTTCTCTTTTCGCGTTGATGATCGCGTAGATGCGGTCGACCAGCATCGAATCTTCAAACCACACCGTTATCTTTCCCTGATGCCACGCACTTGTGGCGAGGTAATCCCGAGGTACAACATTAGTCAATCGAAGTTCTGAAATTTATACTAGCTCTAAAATGAACCCTCGAAGGATAAGTGTCAAACTACATAAATCAAAACGTATTAAAAAGCATGTGTCGTAGCAAAAATGAAGTCGTGGTAAAAATATGACACAAGTATGATCGGTACACGGAAAGAAAGACTAACAGTTTTGCAGTATTTAGAAGTTTAGCTGGAAAATAAATATGTAAGATGCTCCAGATGATTGCTAGAATATTAAATCTTTTATAGAATTGCTCATCGTGTTTGAGTCCTACAAAATTATTTTGATGTACAACAAAATTATTTTCAGATCTGGATTTAGCACAATTTTTAAATACTTCAGCAAAATCATTTTTTCTGCAGTTTTTTCCAGTAAAATTTTTTAATACTTCAACAAAACCATTTTTTTTCTGTGTAGAGATAGAACGTTCTAAACCCTTCTATGCTTTATATATTTGTTTGATAAAAATTTGATTGATTTTGTCCTTTCTCCTCTCTCTCTCTTTTTCTCTCCTAAAGAAAATTTGTATTCAATTTTTAGTAACATAAAATTGACTTCAAATCGACCGTTACAATCGATCGTGAATAAAAGGAAATGCAACCTTTATAGCCTTTTAAACGAGGAAAATGGCCAGCGCTTGCGGTCCCTTTAATAGCCGCTATAGTGATACGGTTGAATAGTTACTAAAACGTCATGACAGTTGATTGAAATTGTTGCCAGAGTCATGCTCGTCGAAATTATTACGGAGTACTTCAGTACATCTCTTTCCGTGGTCATCTGTGTTAGTAACTATAGTTATCTTATCCCGGAATTACCCTACACAGCTGGTGGTGCAGCGATATAGCTATATGTATATAGATTGGCTAAGAGTAAACTCGATAGTTTCTATACAGAGACCTTTTTCTTACGTGGCTCATTCGTGTCACTACGTAGTCAGATCGATCCGAGAGGTTTGTCATCCCATAATTCATTTCTTCGTAACTTCTACGTTCGGCCTTCAAGAAATAGATATCTTCTTCGACGTAACACGTGACGAGAAGATGGAAACGGCGCTGTCTAAAATGCAAATTTGAAGAAACATTATTATAACGTCGTGGATTGAGTCGGTTATTCGTTGAGTAAATCTCAGTGATAGAGAATAATCCTGAGGTCAATCTGCCAAGCTTTCTGCGAAGTTTATTAGGAGCGATAAAGGCGATGTGGAAGGAGCAACTCTCTCTCGGATCTTACTCCGTGAATTCGGTTGTGCGAAGACGCGTGCCTATATATTCGAAGTTCTTCACGAGAGCACTTGAATTAGATCGGCACGTTGCAGTGCAAACTCCACTCTTGCGAGATACTCTTCACAATGATATGGCTTAGAGGGTAACTGATCCCTCGGCTTAAAATGGAATATCCCTTTTGCGATATTAATACTCGCCGTTATCAAACTCTCGCGCATTCTAAAATATAGATACACGTATCCCATGAAGCGTCCGTGCAATACATCCTTTTATTTAGATAGAAAATAAAAATTGTTACAGCAACAGAGAGAAAGTTTTATTTTTTGCAATTTAGGTTGGAATCGCCTAAAAATTTGTTTAGGTCTCTGTTGGACCAGAACTTCGTCCCAGATTAATCCCAAAGTTACATTCGGCACAATTTTTTTTTCTTTTTTTGTTTTGAGCACGCGATCTGTCGCTCACACTCTGCTCCACATCGATCTGGATGCAGCGAGATAATTGCAGTTCGCGCGAGTGCCTCTGTCGATTCAGTCGGTGGCGGGATGGGAGGTCGATGGGCGAGGAAATGGAAGGAAAAGGGTCCAAAAAAATGGTATAAACAAAAATGGATTTTACAGCATATAGTTTTCACCTTTGAGATTCTATGCTGTCGGAGATGAATGGATGAGTGTGTCGCATTCGCGTCGCGCTTTGGTCTAGAAATTCAAAGACCCGATATCCAAATAGGAACTCTAAAGACAATCATTATTAGAAACCAGTGATACAGTCAATCTAATTTAATATAGGTTTAGACGAATATCGCGAAATAAAGGAAAATTAGAAGGAGAATTAAATGACTGATGATGATGATGATGATGATGATGATAAAAATAAAAGGGGAGGGAGGAAGGCGCGGAAAGAAAGGAATGATGAAAAGGAGATACAGGAAGGAAGGACGGACGTGCTGTCAAGGCTGAAAAGAGAAAAGGTGCTGGAGATACAAAGAACGCGAGGCGAAAAGAAGAGAGGAATGTGCTGGGCGCGTGGATGAGAGGCGAAGAGAGGAAGAACGGATCGACAAAAGGGAGAGAGGAGAATTGAGGGTTGGTGGCGGCCCAGACCCGGTCGATACGACCACTACCACCAACATCACCACCGCCACCTCTATACGACGAGTATGAGGCAGGACAGAGCGCGGAACTTGGTTCTTGCACGAATGCACCGATATAGCGGGTCTTTTCGTTTTTTTTCCAACCTTACATATCTTTCTTTCTCTCTCTTTCTTTTCCGTCTTCCTTTCATCTCTCGATATTTTTTCACCCTTTCCCCTCCCCCCCCTCCCGCGTTTTCAACGATCCGCCATTTTCAGAGAGAACGTGCTCCTATAGTTCCATCTCTCTTTGGTAGATTTCCTCACGATGATTTTGGCACGTATACTTGCTGTTTTTCTCAAGCTCAGTCAAATCTGGCTATTGTTTGAATTTCGTATCGCCTTCTGTAATTGTACAAAGAAAGAACGATTTTGCTGACGTATTGAAAAATTTAGATAGATGCAGATCTGAAAATAATTTTTGTTGAATTATTAAAATAATTATATAGGAAACTCAAACATAAGGATGAGCAAGGCTGTAAAAAATTTTGATTTTCTAATTAGTTTGTGAGACTCCTACGTAATTATTATTAGGCTAACAAAATTATTTTCAGATCTACATGTAACTAAATTTTTAGATATTTCAGCAAAACTGTTTTTCTTTATAACATTGGTAATTATTCTGATAGATGTGTTAATTGTACGAAATAAGATAATTGAAGGAAGTGCATAATGGGAGTTGATGAAAATATAAAAAGAGAATTTGGGAGTTCTTTAAAATTATTTTTCTCTGCTTTTTATAAGATACATTTTATATCTTATAATTTAGAAAAAAAATGAACAATATTTATTATGATTATTATAATGTTCAAACTACTAACATCACATTTTCTTTGTGTTTGCAGTTGTTCTCTTGGACACGACGACGGAGGAGAAACTCGATTGGACGAGATATCCTTTCGGGCCTCAAGCTAACACTCCTGGTGTAAGTAGATTAAAATTTTCATCGCATGTTATAGAAGACATCAAACTTCTTAAAATTTTAGCGAAAATATTTTTTTTCTCTCTTCGGTACGAAGGAAAATTATTCATTCCGATAGCTTGACTTTTTAAACGATACAAGCATCGAGAATCCGAAAGTAAGATTCGCCCTTCCTCGATGTGGGGGAAGAACGAAACAATTTCTTAAATATCGCGAATTTCCACGGAAATATTCGACGTGCCAACAGCAACACGGGGAAATTCCCGCCGACGTAGGAATTCCGCTCGCTTGCTCGCGCGCACGCTCGGCATCCTTTTCTGCGTGGCCAAAGGGAAATATTAAAAATGTCTCAAACATAAATTAATACTCTCTCGCGAGGTCATTGCACGCGCATTCAGGAGCGCGCGCTCTCTCTCTCTCTCTCTCTCTTTCTCTTCTTCTCTCTTCCGACGATTGTAACAAAGGAACGCCTAGATGGAAAAAAATTCCAGGATCTCCCGACATTTTCTTCTCTCTCTGTATTTTTTTTTTTTTTTTTTTTTTTATTCTTCTCTCGCGGAGTGGAGAAATCTTTTGGAACTCGACTGGCCGGGTTCCGGTGGGTACCAGAAGCACTTTATAGTCTCGGTACGCACGCGGCACATACGTGGGCTCCCGCTGGCCGATGCGCTCTCTCGGCGCCATGTTTGTTTTTCAGTTGTTAAGCGCGCAGCGGGCCGCCAGACAGGTTTAAATCAGCCTCCACCTCTCTCCGTTTCTCCTCTTCTTCTTCCTCTTTCTCTTCCTTTGCCGATTCTCTCCTGCAGCATCACTCCCGCTTCCTCCCCGTCCTCCTTCGCGCTCCACACAGTTGGACCGTATGCACCGCTCTCGGTTCGTGAGTCAGTCCAACCGGGTAACAAATTGCTTTTTGTTTGAACGGACAAATTAGTGATACAGCCGCGCCGGCAGAGGTGCCGGCCGAAAAGACGGGCCGGAGAAGGGAAAAGGAGGGACACGCGGTGTTTATTTAAACATCGTAGGCACCGAGAATGCAGTTTCGCGCACGGGGGACATCCTCTTTCGTGACCCTACGTGGGTGTCGGCCACGGATATCTCGCGTTCGAACCTTCGGCTCGATCATGACGATAAACTGGCGGCTTTGATTTTTTTCGCGACTCGACAAACTCATCGGATATTTCCAAGCTTTATTGTAATTTTTATTCTATTTTTATTATATCCTTCCATTATTTATCTCTATACTTATCTTTTGTATGATACTTTCATAACATTTATGCAGGATGTCATTGTTTAACGGAGAAGGCAATTTGTTCTCTAAACAGATAATTAATAACTCTTTGCTCGTCGTCGAGACGTCCCACGAGCTTCTTGCCTCTTTCCGTAAACTTTTTATTCTTTATTTATTTTATTCAATTATCAAAAATCCTTTTTTTGCCCTCGATCGAATGTGTGGTACACGCGTGCTCGTTCTTCTTTTTTCACTTCTTTCTCTCGCAACGTCGATTGTTAGTATCGCAGCGCTAATCGGCCAGCGTAACACTCTATTTGAAAAAGTTCTTTGAGACTGCTGTTGATTTTTCTGGGTGCTAAACGTTCGCCCTCCCCCCCCCCCCCCCCCCCTCCCGCGCGAACGAAAGAGGCCGAAGAGGGATGGCTACGCCGGCGGACCACGCACGGGTGTCTGATCTTCTTTTTTTTGAGAATGACCCGAAAAAGAAACGCTCTCACACTCTTCGTTCTTCGTGAACCACTCGAGTTCACTTTGCACCTCCCATTCCATCTCACCCATCGGAAGTGCTACGTCGAAATATACGTTTCTCTCTCCCTTCTCTGTCTGTCTTTTTTTCTCTTCCGTGAACTCTTAAGCGCACGTGCTCCTCGTAAAAACGACCGCGATATTAGTTACACCTACGAGCCTTTAAAGTTCCTCCCAAAGGTTCGTATTCTTGGCGCTAAGTATTGGTGTCCGTATATGATTCTCGTCGATTCTGTCTATTGACACTCCGAACGTCTTCCTCACACTGGACAAATAAAGCCCAAGCGTGGACGATCGTTTAACTTTAAAATATGCGTTAATAATATGAAGCTGTGGTCCCAAATCGATTTTTCAAACATTCCGTCTTTCAAATACTGATGCTTATCGGCAATCTTCCGTATTCAATCCTGACAAGTCGCCCGCTCGGAATTCCACGTCTTGCACGTTCCGCAGATCGATCGGATGAACGACAAGACTTGTCCATTGCCTGACGATCGTAGATGACGAGAGACGATGTTCCATTTCCCGGGTCGAGGAATTCACGTTTCACGAGGTTCCCTTCACTATACGAGGAATGCGTACGTCAACGTACGCGCGAACTAAAGTGGGGAATCCTCTTAGATTAGTCCAGAGCCTGATCCGCTTCCTCAAGCGATTCTCTCCAAAG